CCTGCCCCGCCAACAGTGTAAACTTCACTTTACCACTCAAACCCTCCACTGGTCATACCAACCAAAACATATTCAAAACTACTCTCTGCTTTTCAAGCCCCCCAAAACTCAACATCACCCTACTCCTTAATAAGAAGTCAGCCTTCTGCAACGGCAGACACCTTTCCTGCTTAAATCTCCACCCCGGCTGCCCTCCTGTGAAACTGAGTCATCTAAAACTCCAGACTGCCTCCTCCACCCATTCTTTGCCAGTAACTCCTCTCACTGGATTCTGGTAGACACCAAACGCTTCTTACTACACTGGGAAAAAAAAGGCACTGCAGGGCACTCAAACCCCTCATAATGCACCCCTGCTCCCACTCACTGCGCCACACTTGCAGGGACGTTAGGAGTATGGCTCCTAAAGAACAACAAATTTTCACATCTTTTTCAGCATACACAGCCAATTCCGTCTGCAAGCCAAGGTCTCTTCTTTTTAAGCGGCACCTCCACCTATATTTGCCTCCCCACTAATTGGACTGGCACCTGCACCCTAGTGTTCCTCAGCCCAAAAAATTAGTATAGACCCAGGTAACAATCCTTACCCATCCTGGTCAACACTCCTATCTGGCACCGCTGGGCGGTGCAGCTCATACCTCTGCTTGTGGGACTAGGAATGGCTACAGGACTGCAGGCGTTGCAACAGGAACTGCTGGGCTTTCCAACTCTCTCCTACTATCCCTCGCTCTCCAAAGACCTTACAGACAGTATAGAGGACATGGCCAAGTCCATTTCTAACCTCCAAACACAAAGGGATTCACTGGCTGCAGTTGTCCTCCAGAACCACAGAGGCCTCGACCTACTTACCGCTGAAAAAGGAGGTCTCGGCGTCTTCCTAGATGAACAATATTGTTTCTATCTCAACCAATCCAAATGATGCAAGATGCAGTCAAAAGACTTGACTGAGCCCCAAAAATAAAAGAAAACAATTCTTCTGCCTGGCCCTCCGAGCCCAGCTGGTCTCTCAGCTCCTGGGCCCCTTGGCTGCCTCCCCTCTTCGGCCCTGCTATAACTCTCCTCCTCCTCTTGGTCTTTGGCCCTTGTCTCTTACGCCTTTTCACCCAGTTTTTGCAGAATCGATTATAAGCCTTTACTCGAAGCACAATACAAAACACGATGGTATTCCAGTTGCATCCCTGGTACTACCAACTTGCAAGCCAGCCTCACCCCAACCAGCATCCCTACCTAGCATGAAGCAGCTAGAAACAAATGCTACCCCTTCTCCCTTTCTTTTATAGATATAACAAAAGGCTGGAATTTGTTAGGGTCACAACAAGGCAAGCCAATAGACTGCCCTCCCTGTTCTCCCCTGCTAAGCCTAGCTCACAGCAAAAACAGCCTCACGCCTTGCAAACAGGGCACCTGGGTTCCAGGATGTGGTCACACCCGGTCCTCAAACCCAGGATGGCAACCCAATTAAGCAGGATGTTAGCATTTAAGAACCAAGAGGCAGTTTTTCTTAGACTAGCCCCTGCCACCTGCAAACCCCCTATATAACCTGTAAGCCAGGCTGCTGCCTTCACTGCTTGTGGTGAGGCAGTCAGCCTGGCAGGTTGAAATAAACTTGCTAAACCTGACTCTAGGTCTGTCTTTCCATCCTTCCAGCCAACCTTACACAACCAAGCCTTCTCAGCGGTGTCTGCTATTGCCTTTGACAATCAAAATACTACGGGAAAAACAAGAGACAGAAAAAAATACTACATTTTATTTTTTCTTAGAACTGAAAGAAAACATATGAGACTGGTAAAATCACATTTCTCAATGTAATAATGTCTAGTATTGGTGGGAACACAATTTGGAATACCACAGCAGAGGGGAATTTGGCAATATTTATCAAGCTTTAAATATACACACCTTTTGCCCTGGCAAATTCATTGCAATAAAGTTACTCATTTGAATATATTCCCCAAAATACATCAAATTATCAATTCAGGGCCATACACAGTGGTTCACGCCTGTAATCTCAGCACTTTGGGAGACCAAGGGGCAGATCACTTGAGGTCAAGAGTTCAAGACCAGCCTGGCAAACATGGTGAAACCCCTTCTCTACTAAAAATACAAAAATTAGCTGGGTGTGGTGGTGAGCACCTATAAACCCAGATACTCGGGAGGCTGAGGCAGGAGAATTGCTTGAACCTCGGAGGTAGAGGTTGCAGTGAGCTGACTTTGCACCACTGCACTCCAGCCTTGGCGATAGAGCAGGACTCCAATTCAAAATAAAAAAAATTGTAAGTTCAGGACTGGGCAAAGTGAATCATGCCTGTAATCTCTACACTTTAGGAGGCTGAGGTGAGCAGATCATTTGAGCTCAGGAGTTTAAGACCAGCCTGGGCAACGTGGCAAAACTCAGTATCTATGAGAAATTTAAAAGATTTGCCAACTGTGGTGGTGCACACCTGTGGTCCCAGCTACACAAAAGGCTGAGGCAGGAGAATCGCTTAGGCCTGGGGGGGTAAGGCTGCAGTGAGCTATGATGGCAACCCTGCTCTCCTGCCTGGGGGACAGAGCAAGACCCTGTCTCAAATAAATAAAATAAGCAAGTTTGGAGATGTTTGTTGCACCACGTTTTTGTACTAGCGCAGAAGTAGAAACAATGCGAACATCCATCAATAGAGGACAAGTTAAATCAATGACTTTACAGTCACACAATGGAATATGCAACCGTGTAGAGTTGCCTGTGTTCATGTGAAAAAGTCACCAAGATATATTAAAAGAAAAAAAATGCAAGATGCAAAACAAAATGTATAGTTGATCCCATATGTATACGCTTTTGCTGGTAAATATGTTTTGCTAGAAGGCTGTATAAGAATTAACAGCAGACACCCTTGGGAAGAGGGAGTACAGAAGTGGGTGGAGGGACTTTTGCCTTTCATTTTAAACCTTTCTGATGGAATGTTTTACTATGTACATGTATTCCTTTTCTTTCCTTTTGAGACAGGGTCTCACTTTGTCACCCAGGCTGAAGTGCAGTGGCATGATCTTGGCTTTTTGCAGCCTCAACCTTCCAGGCTCAAGTGATCCTCCTGCCTCAGCCTCCCAAGTAGGCGCAACTACAGACATGCAGCACCACACTCAGCTAATTCTTAACATATTTTTTGTAGAGATGGGGTCTCGCTACGTTGCCCTGGCTAGTCTTCATGGTCTCAAACTCCTGGACTCAAGTGATCCTTCTGCCTTGGCGTTTTTGTTAACTAAGAAAAAACAGAGGCAGGGCAGAGGGGTAAGGAGTTGGTAAGCCAGGTAGAAAAATATGGAAGTATGCACAACACTTCTTAACTTGTCATATGGTCTGATCTACAGGGCCTCTTCTCAGGGCACTTCCATCTTTCACTGGAAGAGCCTCCTTTCCAGCAATAGCACCTAAAACCAATTTTTTTGGCTTTCTCACTGCAATTATTTTTTTCTGTTGCAATTATTTTTATTCTACTTCCTGACTTTGCAAAAATCTATCCATATGGTACTTTCTTCAAAACTTTCCCCAGTCCTGTACTTGGTATATATTGTGATATATTATCTATATCAACCCCATTTGCCTGAAGTGTGCTGCTTCCCTGGGGAGTGCTGAGGATCACCACTTCTCCCAGAAAAGCTGCTCTTAGGGCAGAGTGCTCTCAGAAGCACATCTATCCGCACTCTGGCAGGGAACCTCCCAACCATCCCATGGTTCCAATTCAATTCAACAATTACCCACTACATACAATGCCTGACACAAGGAAGATGCCAGGAATAGAAAAATGAACCAAATACAGTGCTTGTTCTCTGGGAGACAGTAGATGCCAACACAATTACCTGCAATACAAACTCTCATATACCTTTGAGGGAGTCCTAGCCAGATCACATGACTGTCTCCGTCCAGAGGCCAAAAGCAGCCTTGAATTCCACCCCCATCCCTTTACGTCCCACCAACCTGAGAATAACAAAACATGCCCCCCAAGTTTAGCAAAATATTGGACACTATTACTTATGAAACACTGTATAAAGTACAAGCATATTCATTTTACTTTTTAAATTAATTTTTTTAAAGAAGCACAGTCTTGCTCTGTTGCCCAGACTGGAGTGCACGATCCTAGCTCAATAAAGCCTGGAACTCCTGGGCTCAAGACATCCTCTCACCTCAAGCTTCCCGAGTAGCAGGGACTACAGGTGCCCACCACCATGCCCGCCTTTTACAAGCACATTAATTTTCACCTCACAATAACCCAGTAGGACAGATATTCTACATCCTCATTTTTCAGAGGAGGAACTGAGATTCAAAGACACAGATAGCATCACCAAGCTAGGAATGGAACGGAGAACCGACTGACTCCAGGGTTGACATCCTTAACCGCTGTGCTAACCAGCCTCCCCAAACCCTCCAGGACACGGTGCGACAGGTTGGGGAAGTCACTCCTTTCTTTTAGGCACGGATCGGAGGAGAACGACACTGGAGAAGTTTCCATTTCCACATGAAGAATTTCAGGGTCAACTGCATCTAAATTGCACGCAAGACAGGTGGACCCTCCCCTATCCAGCACCAGACGACCTGCGGAGGCCACCAGAACCAGCTACAGTGTACGGCGCCCGAGGGTGGGGCCCCGAGGCCTAGCCATTCCAGTGGCCTCCCGCGGACAAAGTGACCATCGCTGCGGCAGGCACTTCCCTAGTGTGGCCGAGTCCCCGCGCCTGGGCACCATTCACCGTGGAGAAAGGAGTCGGCGCCGCGACCCCCACCTGGACGACGCGGGGGGCAGCCCAATGCCAGGGAAGCTGGGGGTCCACGGCTGCGCCCGCCTCTCTCCACTCTGGAAGGGCTCGCGCAGTGGAGGTCCCAGGAGTTGCCAGGGCCAAGTGGACCGAAGGAGGATGACTGGGAGGGAGCAACCCTGCCCGCTAACCCCAATCTCGGGCCAGCCTCCCGAGCGCTCCGAATCCTCCCCCAAACCAACGAAAGCGGCAGCGCCAACACGCTTCTAGGCGCTCACCTTCTAGCGAGTTCCAGCCGCGCAGCCACGGAGCACCGCGCACCGACACGCCCCCCTTTCATTCACCTGGCGCCCTCCGATGAGAGGCGGGGTTGCTGGCCAATCGCAGGAGCGCCTGGGTTCGTGAAGGCGGGCCCTTCGGCCAGCAGGGTGGTCAATGGCGCTGGCGCCCCTCGGAGGATGCGTTCTGAAGGCGCCGGTGCTCGTAGGGTGATGGGAGTTGTGGTCTCAGTTGTGGCTTTTCGGGTAAAGACAGAGTGGACAAAACTACAAGTACCAAGATGCCAAAAGGGGCGAGGACCAACGATAGCGAAAGGCTGCAGCTCGGTTCTGTCTTTTGAGTCCCACTTGAGGGACCTGCCAAGTACCGGTCTCTTTGTCTAGAGAGCGAAAAGCACGTCGTGGGTGTTAATGGAGCCCAGGGAATAAGAGCTGTGACTCATCAGTCCGCACACATTTCACACCGGCGCTCTCTGCAAAAATCTGGGAATAAGTGAAATGGTTTCATCGATTCAACAGGTTTTTATTGCATACCCGCGGTTACCTTTACTGGGTAGTCGTTGCAAAAGATAAACGATTCAGCTCTTCCCTTGACACGCTCTCCGGTTTATACATACTAGTGAAACGGATAAATGGCAGTACTAGGTGCTAAGTGACCGTACGGGCGCGTTCTGGGACAGCTGTGAGCAAAACAAGGCAGCTTACCGCTCTGAGGGAGCTTAGTTCTAACGAGGGTGTATTCGTTTGCTAGGGTCGTTGTACCTGTGTCACCAACCGGGTGGCGTCAATGACAGATTTTATTGTCTCACAATCCTGGGGGCATCTGAAAGCAAGATGTTGGCGGGGTTCGTTCCTTCTGGGCGCTGGGAGGGAAGGGTCTGTTCCAGACTTCTCTCCTGGGCTTGCAGATGGCCATCTTCATGTTCACAAGGCATTTTCCCTGTATATGTCTCCATATCCAAATGTCTCCTTTTGCTTGCAATAAGCCGGGGTCATGCCACTACACTCCAGCCTGGGCGACAGAGAGAGACTACCTCTCAAAAAAAAAAAAAAAAAAAAAAAAAAATAGTATTTTTACAGGGATACCAGCCATATTGGATTAGGGTTTCACTCTACTCCAGTATTACCTTTTTTTTTTTTTTTGAGACGGAGTCTCACTCTGTCACCCAGGCTGGAGTGCTGGCGGGTGGATAACCTGAGGTCAGAGTTCGAGACCAGCCTGGCCAACATGGTGAAACTCTATCTCTACTAAAAATACAAAAATTAGCTGGGCATGGTGGTGTGTGCCAGTAATCCCAGCTACTCAGGAGGCTGAGGCAGGAGAATTGCTTGAACCTGGGAGGCGGAGATAGCAGTGAGCAGAGATCCAGCCACTGCACTTCAGCTTGGGCAACAGAGCAAGGCTCTGTCTCAAACCAAAACAAAAAAAAGGCTGCGGTGGCTCACGCCTGTAATTCCAGCACTTTGGGAGGCTAAGGAGGACAGATCACGAGGTCAGGAGTTCAAGACCAGCCTGGCCAACATGGTAAAACCCCGTCTCTACTAAAAACACAAAAATTGGCTGGCCATGGTGGCGCACACCTGTAATCCCAGCTACTCAGGAGCCTGAGGCAGGAGAATTATTGCTTAAATCTGGGAGGTGGAGGTTGCAGTGAGCCAGGATCACACCACTGCACTCCAGCCTGGGCAACAGAGACTCCATCTCAAAAAAAAAAATGACTACCCTTTCCACTAAGGCCCTGTTGAGGAGTAGTGAGCCATGCTAAGATGAAACAGAAAACCGGTTGGTACATGTCTAAGAAACAAGAGGATGCCATTGGGATGAGGAAGTAGATGGCAAGTAGACCAGCTTCATGGGTGTGCAACCCATGCGGTGGCACAGGGCTGCACACTCAGAAAGGGCTGGTGCTTCCAGGTGAGGTTTCTTACTTTAAAAAAAAAAAGAGGCCTGCGTCCACCCCTCTCTCCCAGGGCCAACCTGCTGCAGGCCGCCTAGGTGCCTGGGGTATCCATGGGCAATAGCAAAGGCCACGATGACAGATTACAGTGAGGAGCAGTGCAAAGAGCTGGAGACTCTGGAGTCCATCTACCCTGACTCCGTCACAGGCAGATGTCTCTCAGCTACCCCTGTATAGCTCCAGTCCTGTGCACATTCTCTCTCACCAGCAGTACACTTGTGCTGTGAGGATGTTAAGGGGATGAGAGAAGAGGGGTTTGAGAGTATCATTAACTAGCTTGATTGCACATTGATCCAACCCTCCTAACAACTAGTCTTCCAAACATAAATGGACTCTTCTGATACCACGTTCTCCTTCAGTAGTGCTTCACTTGACAAGGTCCTGCTAAGTGTTATCAGAAAATCCACCCAGCTTTGCCATTACTGTGACATCTAGGCTGGAGAAAATGATGAAACTGTCCAGACTACCCTCAAGTTTACATGCAGTGAAAAATATCCAGATGAAGCTCCTCATTATGAAATATTCTCCCAGGAAAATCTAGAAGATAATGTCTCAGACATTTTAAAATTACTAGCATTATAGGCTGAAGAAAATCTTGGTGTGGTGATGATCCTTATTCTAGTGAGAGCTGTACAAGAAAAATTAAATGAAATAGTAGATCAGATAAAAACCAGAAAAGAAGAATCAAGGAAACAGAAAAGCAGAAGAAGGTGGAAACCAATTATTTCGTGGCACTCCAATTTCTTAAATTGGAAGGCCAAGTTTGATGCAGAACTCTTGGAAATTAAAAAGAAAAGGATGAAAGAAGAAGAAGCAGGAAAAAATAAATTAAGTGGGAAACAACTATTTGAAATGGATCATAATCTTGACACATCTGATATCCAGTTCTTGGAGGATGCTGGAAATAACATGGAGGTAGATGAGTCTTTGTTCCAAGAAATGGATGACTTGGAGCTGGAGGATGATGAAGATGATCCAGACTACAATCCTGCTGACCAAGAGGGTGACTCGGCAGACTAATGGACTGTCCCCATCTGCAGAGAGGCTGGACTGCTACAGCATCTGTGGCTGTGCTCAGAGGGTTTTGATTTTCCTTTTTTTTTCTAGAAAAAAAGATACTTTCAGGAGAATATTCTTCTGATAGCTTTCATCGTCGAACTTAATAAACTTACTTGAAATTTAAAAAAAAAAAAGACCCAGGTGCGACAGCTCACACCTGTACTCCCAGCACTTTGGGAGGCTGAGGTAGTAGGATCAGTGGAGACCAGCCTGGGCAACATGGCAAAACTGAGTCTCTACTAAAAATACAAAAATTAGCTGGGTATGGTGGCACATACCTGTAATACCAGCTAATTGGGAGGCTGAGGCATGAGAATCACTTGAACTTGGAAGGTGGAGGTGGCAGTGAGTGGAGATTGCACCACTGCGCTCCAGCCTGGGCGACAGAGTGAGACTCTGTCTCAAAAAAAAAAAAGAAGAAGAAGAAGAAAGAAAGAAAATTAAATTACTAATAAATAAAAAGAACAAAATCTAAATAAATATTTAAAAAAATTTTTTACTGGGGGCTGGTCACTGGTTTAATGCTCTGCCATTGCCCTCTTACTACCTTTTTTTTTTTTTTTTTTTAAGACAGAGTTTTGTTCTATTGGAATCTTGCTGTGTCTCCCAGGCTGGAATGCAGTGGCATGATCTCGGCTCACTGCAACCTCTGCCTCCCAGGTTTAAGCAATTCTCCTGCCCCACCTTTCCAAGTAGCTGAGATTACAGGTTCATGTCACCATACCTGGCTAATTTTTTGTATTTTTTAGTGGAGACGGGATTTCACCATGTTAGTCAGGACAGTCTCAATCTCCTGACCTCATGATCCACCCACCTCTGCCTCCCAAAGTGCTGGGATTACAGACGTGAGCCACCGTGCCTGGCACCCTCTTACAATTCTCAATAGTTTTGAACAAGAAACTCTGCATTTTCATTCTGCACTGGACTGGAAATATGAATGGATAAAGAAGCAAAGGCCAGATTACATAGGAATTTGCAGGCCACCTTAAGGAGTTTGGATTTTTCTTTTTTTTTTTTTTTTTAATTTTTTATTGGATTATAGGTTTTGGGGTACATGAGCAGAGCATGCAAGACAGTTGCGTAGGTACACACATGGCAGTGTGCTTTGCTTTTCTTCTCCCCTTCACCCACATTTGGCATTTCTCCCCAGGCTATCCCTCCCCACCTCCCCCTCCCACTGGCCCTCCCCTTTTCCCCCCAATAGACCCCAGTGTTTAGTACTCCCCTTTCTGTGTCCATGTGTTCTCATTTTTCATCACCCACCTATGAGTGAGAATATGCGGTGTTTCATTTTCTGTTCTTGTGTCAGTTTGCTGAGGATGATGTTTTCCAGATTCATCCATGTCCCTACAAACGACACGAACTCATCATTTCTGATTGCTGCATAATATTCCATGGTGTATATGTGCCACAGTTTTCCAATCCAGTCTATTATCAATGGGCATTTGGGTTGATTCCAGGTCTTTGCTATTGTAAACAGTGCTGCAATGAACATTCGTGTACATGTGTCCTTATAGTAGAACGATTTATAGTCTTTTGGATATATACCCAGTAATGGGATTGCTGGGTCAAATGGAATTTCTATTTCTAAGGCCTTGAGGAATCGCCACACTGTCTTCCACAATGGTTGAACTAATTTACACTCCCACCAACAGTGTAAAAGTGTTCCTTTTTCTCCACATCCTCTCCAGCATCTGTTGTCTCCAGATTTTTTAATGATCGCCATTCTAACTGGCGTGAGATGGTATCTCAATGTGGTTTTGATTTGCATCTCTCTGATGACCAGTGACGATGAGCATTTTTTCATATGATTGTTGGCCTCATATATGTCTTCTTTCGTAAAGTATCTGTTCATATCCTTTGCCCACTTTTGAATGGGCTTGTTTGTTTTTTTCCTGTAAATCTGCTTGAGTTGTTTGTAAATTCTGGATATCAGCCCTTTGTCAGATGGGTAGACTGCGAAAATTTTTTCCCATTCTGTTGGTTGCCGATCCACTCTAGTGACTGTTTCTTTTGCCGTGCAGAAGCTGTGGATTTTTCTTATAATGTGAAGGGACACCTTTGAAGGGTCTTAAGCAGGAAGGAATTAAGACATGATCTCTCTCCCCTGCTGATAGATGCTGATAGCTGGGGATAGGGTAGAGGTGGTAGAGATGGAGGAGTTGGTTTAGGAGCTACT